GAGAAGCAGGGCACCGACAGGTCGGGTCGTGGAATGTCTATCACATGCTCACCACAGACAGCATCTCTTCCCAGGCTCTTACCAGCACAGTGCGGAGCAGAGACCCGCCCTGATCCCTCCTCCGGTGGGAGGCCGGCTCTGAAGAGCAAGCTGGAACACTAGGCCACTCTGAGGTCTTTTTTAACTTTATTTCTCAATCCAGGGTTTTTATCGATTTGTTTATTCTTGTGCAAGAACCCGAGTCGGTAGAAGGACGACTAAGTCTTGGTCTTGGAGTCAGATCGGAGCTGACAGATGAGTAGAAGGAGGCAGGCAGCGGGGTGGGCCACGGAGCAGGAGGCACCCTGAAGGCGTGCGGGCCGGGGGAGGGGGGAAGAGCTGGCCTGGAAATTAACAGGACTGTAGAGAACCTTGCAAGAGCAAAAGGAGAGAAAAACCATTCAATGCCAGAGGAGCGAGCTTGAGGAAAGGTAATAAGGAGTAGGACAAATGTAAGTCAATTCTAGGATTAGTGTCAGCCTGAGGCTCTGGGGAGCGGCCTCCAGAGATACTGACGGAGCAGGGAGAGCAGGGATTACACAAATAACCGATTAAAGAACATGATGGGGCAGGATAAAGAGCTCCTGTGTCAGCAGGGGGAAGGAGCAGTAAAACGCAGCCTGTCCTGAAAAGTCCTGTGCGTGGGCGTGGGAACAGAATATGGCTCTGGGTCATACTGCAAAAGAGAACGGCGTATTTGCTGGGTTACGAGAAGCTTTAGTGGGGGGTGTGTTGAGGACCAGGACTGCACTCTCAGGGTGTGCCCTGGCCCTGCAGAGCCTGACCTCACCTATCCCTGGGCGTGGAAGGAGAAGCACTCATAAGGCAAGTGATTCACGAGTGGCCAACATGCCCAGGGCGGTGTTGTTACTGAAAAACTGCAAGAATGTGCAGCTGATGGAGGAGTGGATTAATGGTTGTTACCTAGAGGATGATTCCCAGATTCATACGGCCTAGCCCAGGGCAGAGCTGATGGCCCAAGTAGTGTTCAGATCTCCACATAAGGCCTTCCCTAGGACCTAGACCCTCCGGTTGCTGACTGGTAAGCCCTGCAGATGGACCCACAGAAGGAGATTTTATAAAAAAGGAAGGAAAGAAAGGAAAAGGAGGGAGACATCGGCTAAGTAGGGGCAGCTGCAGCCGTGAGGCAGTGAGGGCTCTGCGGGAGGCAAGGACCGGGTCTGAGACCCTGCCCGGTAAGGAGAGAAATCAGCTCCCTCTAAAAGAAAATGGTAGCTTCCAAAACAGAGTGGACACACCAGGAAGACACGGTCTCAGTCTTCACATGAGGAAATGTGAAATGTAAAACAGTGGTCAATAAATGAATTGAAGTGGAAATATGGAAAAGATAGTGATGCAGGGAGGTAAGCATGGAATTTATATTTTCAATATAATTCTGCAGTTGATACTACATTTGTCTCTGTGAACTTGATTCCATGGTAGAAGGGCGTGTGTATGCGTGTGCACACATGCTCGTGCTGTGGCAACGAGAGCCCCCATCCCGCCCTTCTCTCCTGCACCCCTCAGCTCACACATGCACGTCAGGTATGTGTAGAAGCACACTGTCTACTCTCCAGGTCAGGGCCGTGGCTCACCCTTGCTTGCGGGGCGCTGAGCTCAGTGCTGTGCCCTGTCTGCACGGTGCTGGCCCGGTGTTGGCACAGAGTTCATGGTGCTTCCAGGCTGACCTGCTGTCAGGTACGCAAACTTCTCTCAGCTCCTAGAGGGTGACTGTCGGCCAGGTGGCTGGTTTCTACACATTGGGGGCGTTTGTTCCAGGCTGGCTTGAGCCATATGAGGTTGACGTCCACTCCCCAGCACAGCTGCCTTGGCAGGGTCTGTGCTCAACCATTGCAGGACCAGGGAGAATTATGCATCAGGAACCAACTCAGGACAGGACACTGTCCCACTGCAGGGCACGCTCACACACCTTCACACGCACTCAGACTAGGGCCCTGCAGACGCACCCATGAACCTCATGTGCACGGCTTCGGGACACGGGAGAAAACCAGAGTATCCAGAGACAGCCCACGCGGGCACGGGGAGAGGCGCAGACCCCACACAGGGTGGACGTTATCTGCGGACCTGCTTTCCACAGCCTCACAGAATTGAACCACCACCACCACCACAGTCAGCTCCTGTTGACTTATAACCCAACTGCCAAATACAAAAATTAATTAAAAAGAAAAAAACCCATTAGACAAAGGTTAGCAAAGACGGAATAATCCAGTGTGAACATTTTGTAGGAATCCATGTCATGGTGTCTGTAACTTTGGGGCCACTGGCTCATTTCCTTTCATCCTGACTGATGAAAATGTCTTTACGGCATGCTCGGTGCCATCAGGTGTCTGCGCCGGGCCGGCGTGGGCAGCGGCAAGGACTTCCTCTGACTCCCTCGTGGGAGCCCCCAAGCTGGGCAGGGCAGGATCCCGACTTGCGGCAGCTCCAGGGCCGCATGCTGACCCTTCACTCATGGGCCTTTTCCTCTTCTCTCCCAGGTGTTCCACTGTGTCCACTTTGAGTGTCCAGAGCAGCAGAGCAGCCAGAAGGAGGAAAATAGCGAGGAATCGGGGACAGGGGACACCAGTCTGGCCGGTCAGCAGCTCGACTCCCATGCCCTGCGGGCGCCCAGTGGCAGCTCACTACCCTCCAGCCCAGGCTCCAACTCACGCTCCCCCAACCGGCAGCACCAATAAAGGAGGCAGCGGGCCTGGTGTGACTGGTGGGCTTGGGCGACGGCAGGAAACGGTCTCCTCCCTGAGCAGGGGTCTCTGTTGACTGCCCCCGCCCCTGCCCCTTTCCAGCGAGGAGCTGCGAAAGCAGACACCGAACAGGTTTCCTCCCAAGGACAGAAAGGGGCTGCTTTGTTCTTCTCAATTTGTCCAAATCAGCTGGTCTCGAGGGGGAAAAAATGGGTCTTCAATCTTCATCAAGTCCACCATTAACACCCTACCTCTCTCATCTAGCCCAGGCGCAGGGAACAGGAGGGTCATAGACAGGCCCGTGTTGGATACAGAAATGGCACACACACACTCAGGCGGAGGAGAAAGCATCGGGCCTCTGCTGCCTGGAGGCGCCCTTTAGGAACGGGCTTCCTTAGAGTGCTCGTTCTGCTGGAAAACATTGCCCTGGCAACTAAATGATTTTGTTTATTCTCCATTCAGTGAATCATACGTGTTCCAGATCTATTTGAAATGCTCAAGCAGCAAATCACTAGTTTTAATCCCTTTTGATGCTGTAATTTTCCTTCCTTGGTTTTGAACGGTTCAGCCTGGGGGAACAGAGGCCCATCATGCATGTCTCCTACATGAGACACGGATGTGGCTCATCCTGGCACTTGGGCCACAGAGGAAGTTCCGCAAATGCACACGAGCAAATCAACCTGTGGACACTGGAGTTAATAGTCACTCACGTGGCTGAGTTATTCACCTGTCATTCCTGACACGGATCCAGCCTTTAAGCTTGGGAGGCTGACAAGGAAATAGTTACTATGTGCGCTGCTAATTCACTATTCAGAAGTCTATGTAGATAAACATATACCGAGTTCTGGCATGGCCAGACCTGCCGGGGACTGCCATGGCTTAGCCGCCCCTCCAGTTGTGTTTAGTGGAGCATTGGAGAGGCAGCCACCTGCCCATCAGCGTCGGGAACGCAGATCTGGGACTCCGTGCTTCCCCCACCCCGCAGTACTCAACTGGGGATTGAAAAATAGCAGTTCTAAGAAGCTTTTCTCCTAATCCTCATCGAAAGGACCTCATTTGATGATGGTGGTTTGATCTGGCTCCGTCTCTTACTTAGTGATTTCCATTCCAGTGCTGCCTGCCCTGGGTAACTGCACACATCATTGCCTGCGCCTCTGCTGTCCCCAGAGCTCCGGCCTCTGTCGCCATCAGCATCAGCCTGGGAGTCTCCCCAGGACGGCACGGCACATGGGCAGCACCGCGGTCCCTGGGTCCTTGGCGCCAACCTGCAACCCTCATCAGAGGAGGGTGAGGGCGTGGGAGTTTCCTTTCAGTGTGTCAAAGACATATCAGCTGCGCTCCAAAAAGAGCCAACGGGTCAGCTGCTTCCTCCCAGTTTAACTTGGTTTTGAGTTATTTGTCCATATGGAAATAGTAGGGTAGCATCAAATTGCATGATTAAATTGGAAGACTGTCTTTCCGTGTGAACACAGGACAGCAGACATCAGAGGGCCACTGGGTCAGGGCGGACACGTTCCTGGGGTGAAGCCAGGCTCTGCCGCTCTCCGTCCTCCTCAGTGGCTCCGGCTGCAGGGCTGAGCTGCTTCCTATGCCCTCAGCTCTGCTCTCTGCCACTCCCTGTTGTGTGGGTGAGTGGAACACCCTGGGGTGTCAGGCATTTCCTAATGGGAGGAGGCTCCTGTAAGGAACAGTGGGCGCCCGCTCCCAGTGGGGGCGCTGGCTGTCAGCCCCCAGCCCCAGGCTGCCAATTAGCCAGAGAGCTCCTGCGCACTCAGCACTTCCTTCCCAGTGTGTTTTCTACCCAGATGGGGACAGAGGAGCCAGATCAGTCATATCAAGGGCAGAGTTCAAACATTTTGAAAGAACCATTCACATGCTTCCTTTTAAACATGGGCATCCCCTGTCCAGAGGCTCCTGGCCTGGAGCAGCGTGCTGCTGACCTTGGGAAGAGAGGGTGGGCTGGTGGGAGGCTGGAGGAGCTACCCAGCCCTGCATCTGCAACCCTCCAGTCCCCTGCCCGCAGAGCACGCAGAGCCCTCCTGTGCTCCGGGAACTAGATAGCAGCTTGGCAGCTCGGCCTCGCGTCGGAAAAGGAACACGCTTCAAAGCCTCGGCCCTAGACCCACATCTGCAGCTCCCTGGCCTGTGGCAATTCTTTCCTTTGGGGCATGCCCTTCCAGATCTCTGTCCTTCCTGCTTCCAGCACTTTAAAGATGCCCCTTATCATCAGATAAAGAGAAGTCAGGGGAAGATGGGGCAGCGCTAACAGCGGATGTCCCTGGTGAGGACTCAGGGCAAAGTCTCATTCCCCCACAGCCGCGCTGCCAGCTCGCCTCCCCTCACTTTGCCAGGAGCCTGCCCTGGACTCTGGAAGGACACCGGGCTGGGGTCCACCTCCTTTCCCGGGCTGGAGGGGTACTGCCCTTCCCCAGGGGGCCTTCTGAATGGGGCAGGAACTCTTCTCGTGTGTTCAGCTGGGTCTGGAGGCCAAGTCAAGGTGTGTCACACCACACACCAGGGCAAGGCGCTCATCTCCAGGGAACAGGGACAGGTGAGCAGCTACCAGAAAGTCCCCAGGCAGCCTGCAGTTCCCCGGAGCCTGCAGTTCCCCGGAGCCTGGCTGGTCCTGCAGAGCACTTCTCCCCTGGGCCACCTGGACCAAAGCGACCTAAAAACTTGAAGCTAAAAGCAAGTGCAGATGATGGGATGGGCTGGCACGTGGCTGGGAGGGTTCCTGGGCACCACAGAGCCCTCAGCCCAGCAGAGAGTGGAGGCTGAGTCCGTGGGAAGCGGGACTTGTGAAGGAGACATGGCCAAGCCCCTGGTCGGGGAGACAGGCTCCCCCATGCCCGGGCCAGCCCCAGAGGCAACAAGCCAACATGAGGAGGGGTGGCAGGTGAGGCTGACGGGTGGGTGCCTGTGGCCCAGGCCTATGAGGGCAATGGTCCTCAGTAACCAACGGAAAGGACACAAGGGCGTCATGGTCACCACCACCCAGGCAAAGAAATGGGAGGTGGCCAGCACCCCCACCCTTCACTTTTCATCATGATTTTTTTTTTTTTTTTTTTGAGAGTAGAAAGGCAACTTCATTGGAGCTTTTGGGGGAAAAAGCCTTCAAAGTCACCTTCCAGCAGCTCTGGGGAGGGTCACTTGGGGTGGACTGAGAGTGTCGGGCGGGTAGGGCGTGTGCCTCACAGCAGCTGTGTCCCTGCAGCCAGCACCCAGCAGGGCAGTGTCACAGGAGCCGCTGCAAGCACTGTTGGACTTGAAGCAGCTCTGAACAGCCCCCCGCCCCCCGTCTCTCCCTCACACGTTTTGCCATTTTCTCAGTGCTTTTTCTGCTTTCATTCTTTTGATTTTAGTTAGAAGCGCGAGCCATGATGGATGTGGGACTCTTCTCAATTGCTCTTTAAATTGTCACTTTTTAAACCTTATTAAATGAAGTGTCGATTCCTGACAAATACATTAAAAGTGCTTTATTCCTAGAAGAGTTGGGAAAAGAAATTATTTTCAGCAAGGGTAGGATGTGTTTGTTAGACTGATTCCTTGGCAAAAAAGAGAAAAAAAGCTTTTGAATTGTGCAAAAAATTGCCCAGTAGTTATGCTGTCACCCCAGTTGTCAAACTGCTGTGCAGACGGCTCCAGCCCAGTCAACTTCACCTTCTTTTTAATTTAGAAGATAACAAAATTGTAATCACTTATCCTTTCCAGAGCCAAGGGGGAAAAGGAAGGTATAATCTACAATAAAAAGCGAGCGTTCTGTGTACTGAGGCCACTTGGTAATAAAGAGACAGAGCGTCCCCCTCACAGACTTCAATTAAGAACCTCCCTTTGGACAGGGAAGAAAGGTGTCAAAAGAGGAAAAGAAAATTAAATTTGCCTCCTTCCAGGAGTTTTTCCTCATTAGAGCTTGCTTGTCAGTGTTATTATTTTAATCTTGCCTTCTGTGTGGTGACCAGCTCCTCCGAGCGACGCCCAGGTCGGGCGCGGGCCGGGCCGGGCAGGTCTGCAGCGATGCCGCGGCAGAGGTGGGCATGCTCCATTTATTTTGGCAACTGCAGCCATTGATTCTGCATGTTTATCCTGACAACAGCCCCAGCAGGGAGTTCAGTTAGGAATGTAAAATGCAGTTCATGGTTCTGTGCCACCGTGGCTTTTATTATTATTATATTAAATTAGAAGTTGTCCCAGTGCCTGGTGTTTGCTCAGTTTCCAGAAGAGAGGGAAGGAGAAGGTTGAAAGGACATGCAGGACAACTGGAATGCCCCATCTCTCTCGCTGACACGGACCCAGTCGATCCTGCGGCTGGACGGGATTTGGAGGCCCGGTCATTTGCAGAGTGAATGGTGAAGCGGGCAGAAAAGGTTTGCTTGGAGGAAAGACCAGTTGCAGAGGCAAGGCAGAGAGAGAACGGGTGGAGGCAGCAGGTCTGTCTTTGTGGTAGGTCTCTGGCTTCCAGCAGGGAGGAGGGAGGAGGCTATGCCCTTCCTGGCTCTTGGCTACACCACTGAGGACGCTCTGAGGGACAGCATGCTTACCCAGCCTTTGCACAGTGCCGGCCCCAGGCTTCCACGGCCCTCCAGCTAGGACTTTGTGCTGGGCTCATGCAGAGGCAGGGAACAGGTGCACGGAAGAGCCCCCCACACCCTCCCCAACACACCCTTGTTTGAAAATCACTGTTCTCTTTACTCACTTAAAAAAGTATACAGGGAACACCTGTTCCTGGCATAATGCTCCAACCTCGCAGAAGGGGCCAGGTGCCCCTCATCTGGCTCTGGCTGCTTCCGACCTGGGCCCAAGTCATCCTTCACTTCCTCAGTGACCACCACTGGTCACGGTGCTCCCTGGCCCAGCCTCCGACTCACCCAGCACCCTGGCCTCTCCCACGCCAGTCTGCTGCACCCAGCGAGCTTCCAGTCACAAGCCAGGCTGAACGGCCGTCCTGCCCCGTTGGCTTGGTGTCTCCTTTTTTTTAAAGAACGGAAATATTCCCCAAGAGGCCTCATGGCCTAAAGACTCACAATTATCCACCTGTAATTTATGATAAATGTCTGGGAGCATTTACCATTTGCATCATGAGTATTTATAGCCCTGAGTGGGGAGGGTGGAGGAGGCCCTGCAGCCAGGGGCCACACACCTGTCCCCACTAGTGTCCCCTGCTTGACAGGGCCCCCTCAGCCTCCCCAAGGCTGTCACTGCAGCTCTGACAGCTGAGAAGTGCCACCTTTGAAAGCCAGCGAACAGTCGCCCGCTAGGGGGAAGGCACCGAAGCAGAGGCCCTGGCCCTGGCACAGAGGAGGCATCGCGAGGCGGGACGTGGGCCGGAGGGGCTGAGCAGCCTTCAGGGCAGGGACTGGGCCCTGCGTCACTGGAGACGTTGATATTAGTCCATCCGTCTGCTGCCAAATTGTCTGCTCCCCACCACGTCAGCCCCAGGGGTTTATGTCCCAGGAAGGCGAGGGTGCCCATCTGAGCGGAATTGGGAGGGGACGGCACCAGCTGGTCTCCCTCAGGGCCTTTGCCTCCCAGTGCTGCCCTGATGGCTGCTCCTGCACCACAGCCCCTGATGGCTGCTGCTAGTCCTAAATTCCTGGGTTTACTCCCAGCCCACATCTCCCACCCGGGCCTGAGGGTGCGGCCAGTGCCCTAGTCCTAACCACTACAGGAGTCATTCTGAGACCTGCTGGAGGCCATGGGGTCTTCCCAGTCCCCTCAATCAGCTGCTTCTGGGATCAGCAGGGCAGGGTGCTGCCAGTAAAGACTGCGGGGAGCACAGCCCAGCCGCCCAGGCTGGGGGAAACTGGGGCAGAGCTTCCAGGTCTGTGGGGCGTGACCTCTCCCTAAGGCACTTCAGGCCTTGGGGCGCCCTCCACAGTGACCTTCAGAGAGGCTGCACCGGCTCGGAAGAACAGCGAGAAACCTCCCCGTCACACTCTCCCTGGTCCTTGTGTCCCTGAGCCCACCCCTTCCCAACCCCCAGTGCCTGGAGAATCGAGAGACTGGCCGGGCAGCCTCTGGAGGGGCTCCAGGAGGCCAGGGGTCCTCAGGGCTAGGCCCGGAGCTCGGCCCAAAGCTGCTTTTGTGAAGCCTGTCTCAAATCCGGATTCAGCAGAGGACAAAAACCTCCCAGCCTTTGGGGTTTCCGGGCCTGTAAAGATGTGTGTGCCTCCCAGGCCACGCTGACGCAAGGGCAGGGACCAGGCCAGGCCTGGGTTGGGGATGGCTCTGCAACCCCAGAAGCTTCACCCAAAACTCCAAAGACGCCCAAAAGGCTGTGCTGCTGTGTGGAATGTGTATTATTTGTGAGCACGATGCGGCTTCTTCCTCATTTTGCAGAGCAACCTAAGTGGGCAGATGTACAAACCATGTGTGTTCGAAACCCCCGAGTCGGTGTGTGTGAGAATGCAGGCTTTCCCTTAGAAATAAAGTGGTGATTTGTGCTGTGTTCGAGTCGTCACTCTGCAGCAACCCCTTTCGGCACCCAGGGACAAGCAGGGGGCCCAGGCCGGGGTCAGCCCTTCTGCCCCAGTGCCCTCATGTGGCACTGCCATCCAGCCCTCTCTGCAGGCCCAGGCACTCAGGGGTGTCCGCCCAGGCCTCTGCTGGCTTCCTCTGCCTCGTGGAGGGAGGCAGACAGCCTGGAGCAAAGCAGGCACCGAGAGGCGGGCTTGCTCCAGGGCGGTGGGGCGGGCGGATTCAGGCCAGCACTGTCACCAGCTCTGCAGGGCCTTCCCTCCGTGGAGGGGCCGTCCCGCTCCCTTCCGCCTCCTGTGGCGCCCTCTCCACCCCACCCCATGGCCTATTCGATGCCCTTTTTAGGGGGTTAGGAAATACCACCTTGAACCCAGACCCCTTCCCTTGTCATTTCTCCTGCTCTGAGCTCAGCCCCAGCTGCTTTCTTCCTCATGTCTTGCTGCTTCTACCTGACGAGCCCATGAGTATTTGGTAGCAACTTCCCCCATTTGTCTTGCTGCCCAGGGGAGACATGGGGAAGGGAACCAGTGAGCCAGGAGGCGGCCCCTTGCAGGTGCTGCCGCTCTCCCTGGCCCCAACCCTGCATCCTGGGTGTGTGAACGCTGTGGGCCCTGCCGTCTGGGATCCAGTGCCCTCTCCTCTGTCTGTGGCCCCACAACTGGGCCTGAGTCTCCAGCAACTCTGCTGGTGCATGTGGGGCCCGAGACTCCACTCCCTGAACGCGAGGGACCCCAGCCACCCGGGGCCCGAGACTCCACGCGCTGAACGCGAGGGACCCCGGCCACCCGGGCCCTTGGCCTCCTCCTGAGCTGTTGTCACGTGGAAACCAGGCAGGGGTCTGCTCCTCTCAGTGAAATTTCTTCTTGGAACCTAAACTAGGGACTCCCCATGTTTTTACTTAACTTCCACCTGGTGACTTTAGCCAAGCACTGGGGCTCCAAGTCAGGTGCTCCATTTCCAAATGATGCAGGCATCCTCCCGGGAGCACACCCTCCTAGCTTCGATCTTCCAGAACTGACAACTTGTTGCCAATAACTGGCTGACGTGAGTGTTGAACAAGACAAAACCCAATCCAGAGAGCACTGGGCTTTGTCCTGCCACCGCACCCCCCAGGCCCCAGGTCACAGACACCTGGCCTCCCAAGTGCTGGGGACGGAGCAGGGAGGCTGCCCCTCCTGCCCTCCCTCACCTTCCAGGGAGCAGACAGCAGCGTCAGTGTGAATGTGGCTCAGCCCATGTGCAGAGGGAGAGGATGCCTGGCTGGGCGTGCAGGCTGAAGTCCGTGGCCCAGGGAGGTTTCCAGAGAAGGTGACAGCTGAGTAAAGCCCTGAGGGGTGGGGACAAGAGCCGTGGCCCTCTGGGAGAGACTTCCAGGACGGGGGCCAGGGGAAGAAGGCTCGATGCCTCCTGGCTGGTGTGGGGGAGGAGGGGCAGGGGTGGCGGGCCAGGGTTGGGGGGTGAGGAGGCCTCATGGATCCTTGTGGAATGTCAG